CCCCTTCCCCCCTCTCTCCACCTCTCGCCCCTCTTCCCTAGTTTCGCCTACGTCTTTTGACAGAGCAAACGAAAAGCAGCGATTATCCAGACACTGATCAGATCATTAAAAAGCCCCTTCCTGGGGATGAATAAGGGCAATTCACATGTGATACTCCAAGGTTATTAGCACAAATACACTAAAAGCACCAAAACCTTTGCTTTATTTGCTTCTGCTGCATTTTTAATCACTAATAAGATTCTTACGAAAAAAAAGACTCCTGAACTTGAGATAGAAAATAACTGAAGAGCTTACGTGGGATCATTGGCAAGATTCAGGAACAGGCAAACACTTTCCATGGAACCGTTCTCCTCGAAATCTTGCTTGAAAAATCGAGCAGTCTCCATGTTGACACCCATTGCCGCAAAGACAATTGCAAAATTTTCCTCTTTCGCGTCGTGTGGTCGATCAGGTAACTTCACCAGACCACCTTGCCGCACAATTTGCGCCGCAATCTGAAGTTGAAAAAAAAAGTAAAAAACATACATTCTGGGGAATCGAACATAAAACTCAAATGCACCAACAGATACAATTTAGGGTTAAAGGAAACATGTGAGAAAAAAAACGATGAAAAGCATGTAAGGAATTATTAAGGTAGACAAGAAATGTTTCGGTCCATTAAGTCGTATACATTTCTTACCTTTACCACAATTGGACCTCGTCAGTACGAAGATCAAAAGTATAACTCATACAAACAAAATTAGATCTTTACTTCATTTATTATGTCACTGCACTTTGCCAGCAGTAATGCTACTCTTTCCAACACTTAATAGAAAAAGAAAATCATTCTCCTGTATAAAATATCCTGAAAACGAAATCACTGTGACAGTTTTGCCAATACTTGGCCATCCCTGTGACAGTATCGGCAACTGAACAACACCTGTGTGCTTGTCCAGAATTATATTCTATTAACGCAATGAACAAAAATGCGAAGGTCTGTGCCACATACACATATACGAAGACCATCTACGATACCCAGTTAACCCGTATAAAGCCCACGATCCGTAATGCTTTGATAATTTTGAAGCAGATGTCAAAAATACCACAACCACTCGGACTGCGAAAGGTTTCAAATTCGACCCCAAGCTATGCGCGGTACTCTCGTAAAAGCGTATGGAATTTTTGGAGGGAAAACTGCTAACTCAGCAACCAAAAAAGCTGGAAGGCTGAAATTTTAGGGGGATTTTCCCTGTCCACGTGCAATTTAAAACTTTCAAATTTAGCTTGTTACTGATATCACTGGATGCTCAGAATCAAAGGTTGAAGAGAAAATATCAAGAAGGAAAGAAAACAAAGAAAACGAGGAAAAGGGTAGTGAGATGGGAAAGGGGACTGAGCAAAAATATTTGTTATAGGTAAGAAATGTTTCGATCCATTAAGTCGTATACATTTTTTATCGAATGCCCTGGTCCAGCTGTGCCAGGTCCCTTGATCTTGATTTTTACCTCTTACATGATCTAAAAAAATAACAAACATTAGTAAAAAGCATCAAAATTAGCTTTAAAAAAAGCATAAATTTAACATACTTCATTGTGTGGAAGACCAGCAGCCGAAAATATTGGAATTTTTTGGCCACGCGCAATTGAATTCATAACATCAATTGCCGAAATTCCCGTCTGAATCATTTCTTCGGGATAAATCCGTGATCGTGGATTTATTGGCTGACCATTGATATCCAGGAAATCTTCCGCCAAAACCGGTGGACCCTAAAACACCATGTAAGCAGGTTTACCTCAGATTCCAACAATAACAATTCATCAGGCGATTATTGCTCAAGTCCAGGATAACGGAACTTTTACTAGTAATCGCTGCTCGCCCAAACGACTTTTGTCAAAATCTGTAAGTAGATTTAAGAAAAATGCAATTTAACAGTTATGCAAAGAACCTGAAAGCAAAAGACCAAGATGAAACAACAGCGATCTGCATCTCACCTTATCAATTGGTTTACCAGAACCATTAAATATACGGCCAAGCATATCTTCGGATACCGGGGTTCGTAGAATATCGCCAGTAAATTCGCATGATGTATTTTTTGCATCAATTCCAGCAGTTCCCTCGAAAACCTCAAAAAATAATCGTAGCGTAGATACATTATTTTTTCTCCTAATTTTTAAAAATTTTTTTTGCATTTTTTTTTGCAAACTTCAAAAGAAATGTATTAGTACCTTACTTTTGTCCTGACTTTTTAAATTCTTTGATTTTTGCATTTTTTTTTTTGCAAACATTAGAAGAATCGCATTAATAAGATCCCCATTCTGTCATATCCTTTTTACAGCGCAATCATAGGAGCTAGTAAGCTAAAATTTCGGGAGTTTTCAGCTTCGGCTGCTCAGAACCTTGAGGAATTAGCCTTTTTAGTGTGCCTACAGCTTTCGAGTACAGCTGCATTTTTATTATGACAAATTTGATTCAAAGTACCTGTACAACAGCCTTATTACGTGTGATTTCAAGCACTTGTCCAGATCGTTTTGTACCATCGGGAAGTGTAAGCTGCACAATTTCTGCATATTGAGGAAATTTCACATCACCCAAAATCACCAACGGACCGTTGACACCAGTTACCGTTTTGTAGGCTAAAAAATGCAGGAAAAGAATTGCAATAAAAAAAGAAAAAAAAACAAGAAAGCTGCAGTAGTAGCTGCGATGAGACATCAATGATGCTGTGAAATTTGCGCTAAACGGCAGTGCTATTACAAGCACGCTCCATACACAAGTCAAGAAAAGATCCGACCGTATCTGTTCTCTATAGGAGATGTAAATACCGCAGAATGTGGATCGAAACATTTCTTACCAATTTTTCAAAAAAATTTTTCGTAAAAATAATTTTTAGTAAATTTAAAAATTATAGTTCTTTTCCATTTTCTCTTTTTCATTTTTTCCTTCTTCATTTTTTTCTTCTTTCTTTCTTTACGCCACATTCTACTTAACTACTACTAACTTTCAAATAAACAGATTGAAGCAACCAGGTTGAATGTGATATAAGTAGACTAAGGTATAAATAACGAAACACATAGGGTGGAGATCCCCGACGAGCTACCCAGCTTTCCCTGTTTTTCAATTTTAATTTTATTTTTGGTATATGTTTACGAAAGGTAAGGAAATAAAAAAAAAGAAAATGTGAATAAAATAAGATCAAAATCAGGATGCGAATGTTTCGGTCCAGTTAAAAGAGGTCCAAAGAAACTGGAAAGGTATTTTGAAATGGGAATGAGAATGGAAAAGAGAAAATAATATTAAGAAATTAGTAAAAGTAGTAGTGAAATTATTTTAATAATAAAATTATTAATAATGGCAAAAAATGGTATTTGAAATTTCCCTTCCTATTTCTTGATTCAGAAATCAAACGCCCGATGATTCAGAAATTAAATGCCTTGTCAGCAGTCTATTCTCGTAAACGGCTCTTTCTAATGATTAAATATAATGATTGTCCGTATCGTGTTTTTCCCTTCTTTCCTTCCTTTCTGTTAGTTCCTTCACGTTTTAACTTCCCTTCTTTCCTTCCTTCCTCACTTTGTTTGCTCCTTCACTCATATCT